TGTTCTGGAGTCCTCTTTGAGAAACAGACATTAAAGAAAAATGTCGGGCGCCTGGATGGCTCAGTTGGTTAAGCATCTGCCTTCAGCTCAGGTCATGATCCCGGGGTCCTGGGATCGATTCCCTCGTCAGGCTGTCCGCTCAGTGGGGAGCCTGCTTCTCCCGCAGCCTCTGCCTGCTGTTCCCCCTGCTTGTGCTCTCCTCTTTCTCTCTCTCTGTGTGTGTCAAATAAATATGATCTTGAAAAAAAGAGAAAAAAAAGAATGTTGTAGAGTGGCTCAGACCACGGACTGCACAGTCAGATTAGGGTTTTAGCATTTAGGCTGTATAACTTGCACAACCTCAGTTTTCCCATCTTTAAAACGGGGATATAAGTGATACCCATCTCACACCGTGGTTAGGAAGGTGGTGTAGTCCCTGCAGGACTTAACGTGATGCCTAATTCAAGGAGGGATGACTTCCCTCAGGATGGTTCTCATTTTAAAAAGCTTCGGGAAAGAAAGGCACAAAGGAAGAAATGAAGTTGCCTATAACCTCATCCCCTAGCAATTACCATTTTAAAAGTTCTGATACAAATCTCATGTATTTCCATATGCAGACCTATATATGCTTTATTCAGTTAGCATCCTATATGATCATTTTCCTACGCCTGTAAGTAGTTTCTTTAAACAGTGATGTTTTATAATGTCTTGTGGAACTCTCTGCACTGTAATTTATTCGGAGAGCCCGTTGTTTTGCCAGATTATTTCAGTTTTTTTTTCCTGTTAAAAATGTTGTGAAGAATAATACTGTATCTCTGTGCGTATCTTGGGTGATTTCTTTGAATGGGGGAATTGCTGAGTCAAAGGGCATGTGCATTTTTTGAGGCTTTTGAGACCTCTTGCCTAATTGCCTTCAGGAAAATGGGGCTCCCCTGACTTACCCTCCAGCAGAGCAGGTTGCTTCTGGAGAATGGCGTGCCTGCTGGGTCACTTCTCTCTGGCGATGCCGCGTGGGTTACTCATGGAGGCAACAGCCGTGTGGGTTACTCACGGAGGCAACAGTTTCTCTCAGTCTGGATTCTGTTTTTCTTTTCTTCCCCTTTGTTTCTTTTCTTGGTTTTCTGCCAAACAGCCTCTTATGAAAGGACCGCCTAATTAACCCTGTGCTAATTAACAATTTAAAATTACACAGTGTGACTGTTCATGTTTAATTCTCTGGGTGCTGGAGCAACAGCAGGAACCCCCTCCCCTCCTTAATAACTGTATCCTGCCCCGCCCCCCCCCCCCAGCTTCCCAGTAACTGTTGCGTTAGACCCAGCCCCGGCTCCTTAAAGGAATGTAACAAAACTGTCCTTTCACATCTTCTCAGTCGAAAGAGGGAGATGAACGACTTCATTGGTGGCGGGGCCCAGTGTAATAACGGAGTTTTATCATTTTGAAAAATCTTTGGAAAACAAAGACTGCCGTTAGCAAAGATGCAGGGGGCTTTACAGGTAGGTTCCAAGGGAATTGTAACTTGTGAGAAGCAAGGGTGAGGGCTCTTGATGAAGATGTTGGAACTTCTCTGTACAAGATGACTTCTCAAGTGGCAGATTTAAACCCTAAGCGGAGAGCATGAATGGGCGAGAACTGGGTTGCTCCTGTATCTTCCCCTTTGACTGTCTTACTGGAAAGATGTGCTCTTCTGAAGTTTAACATAATTCTTAAAACGCTGCACATAAACACAAAAACCATGTTGAGTACAGTATTGCGGGGGGGGGGGTCCATGAGTAGAATGTGTCTGTGTTTATAAGGGAATTTGGGGTCATAAGCAGCAGAAGAGAAGCAGGCTGCAGAAAGAGTTGTGGGTTTGTGATGTGTGAGCTAGCCCTGGCGTGAGTGAAGGACGAGGAAGGGGAAGCAGAGCCAGGGCTGGGGGTTGGGGGGTCTGAACAGAGCTGCTGGGGGGGCTGTGTGTGAGAGCGTGGGGACCCGCTGGGTTCCCAGGCTGCCCTCTGTAACTGAAGATCATTGATTTTACGGGAAACCATGTTTACAGACAGAGTGCTGATCGACCTGCCAAGTTGACTTCTGCCTCCTTAAGTAAGAACTACCTTTTTCTTATTGACTGGCTGATAAACAGAGTGAGAGGGACAGCTGGCTGGGTGGGAGAGTTCTGGATAGCCTGAGGTCCTTGAGCTGAAGGATTGGGCAGGTTTAAGAGATTGCTTCATCTCTGTCTTCAGGTCCCTTCTGGTCCACCCCATCCCTACACCTCCCTGGGACCTGCGGGGGAATCCAAGACTGCCTCCGCCTGGTTCCCCGGCAGTCCAGGCACAGGGCATGGAAGAGATGCTAATCTGGTGAAGGTGTCTCAAGCTTTAGTGCCCGTCCCCAGGGTATCATGTGAAAATGCAGATTCTGATCTGGAGTGGGGCCCGAGGGTCTGCGTTACGCAGGCTCGCTGGTGAAGAACGATGCTACTTGTCCCTGAGCCACACTTTGTTGAGCACGGTTATAAGAGTTTCTGCTTGTCGCGGCCAGCATGCATTGAAAGGAAGCCCAGAGCATAGATCGTGAAGTGGGGTCCTTCTTGGCCACTGGTGTCTTAATGGGCTGTCCTCACTCCTTGTGAATGAGTGGTATCCCACGTGGCTTTTCTCGTGGGGCAAGGGTCACCACCATGGGGTCATCTGGCTTTAGAAGGTGAGCACAGTGTCATCCTTTCTTGACACCTTTTGCTTGGCTATAGAAAAACAAAGTTAGGTGAGTTTCTAAAAGTCCCAGTCATTTAGCTGGATGGTTTGTGGAGGAGGAGGAAGTAGGAGAGAGCAGAGCAAGAAAAGCCCACCAATTAATTGGTAAACGCTTGCAGGTTTCTCTGGCCTAGCCCAGGCTGGAGAGGAGATTGGCTTTGCTGTCGATACTGAAGTCCCTAGTGAAGCATCAAAGCTGTTCTCCTTTATCAATCGTGGCCTCCCCTTCCAGCATGTTCCTGTAACTTACCAAGCATTTATGACATTGATTTTACAATCGGGCTGTTAACCCTCCCGCCCCTTCAGGCCTGCCAACCTTTTTGGCCCGAGCTGTCAATCAGATGTCGTCCAGCCAATCAGGCGCATCCTTAAGAAGAGCCACCCTGGATTCTCACCTGTATCCCAGCTAAGCCTTGTGAAGTCCCATTGCATTTGCTGTTTGGTTTGGTTTAGTGTAGTCATCTTCATTTAAAATCACTGTTGTCTTTTCTAAGGCACATGGAACTTTGTTGTAACGGAGTTAGAGGTTATAAGCTTGAAAGGTGGTGGGGTGTGTGTGTGTGTGTGTGTGTGTGTGTGTGTTGAACAAAACAGGATGCATTCTTCCAAAAAGTTCTTTCTCCGGAGACTTCTGGTAAACTTGCCTTCCCTGTCTTTTCCCGAGGGGGAGCTGTTGGTTCACTGTGCAGTCAAGAATCAAGAAATGAAAAAAGAATGGGAAGATGGGGTAGGGTGGGGGAAGAGAGAGACCAAACCCAGCCAAAACCTTCATCCGATGTGTATGAATGAGATGTTGGGTGGAGAAGCAAACAAGTGTTCTCCAGGAAGGAGGCATGTGTGTGTGGGGCGGGGAGGGCAGCCTGGGCTTTGCAGGCAAACAATCAGAGCCGTGCAAGAGTCTGAGTTGCCTTAGGATCCATGCCGGGATGGAAGGAATGCCCCTGTGATGATGTGACCACAGGAGCAAGAGAGGTGGTGGGTGACCTGAAGCCTCCCTCCCCAGGGGGAGGTGAAGTCTCAGGGGGCAGATTCAGCTCAGTGGCGCTTTGGAGTCCGAAACGGAAAAGCCCCAGGGCTGAAGGACAGCTGCTTGAGCAGCTACTAATAACTATGAGGCAGGTGTGGAACGGGGGCTGGCCGAGCCCAGCTGCTGTCTCGGCTTGCCGCTAAGATCCCTGACAGCAGAAACCACCACACCAGTGGTGATTGGGCTCCGTCCAGACAGGGCAGGATCGACGCTGCTGGAGGGGGAGCCGGCCAGTTGAGGGTCTTCCCAGCTAACTCAGGCTGAGATTGTGTGCCGTCACAGTCGTAGTGTGAATGAGGCCAGCTCACTCGCGGGCAAGGGTGTTCTGTGGGGGTTGGGGAGAGGAGGTGGGATTTTGGAGATCTGCCTTCTGGTTCACAGTGTCAGGGCGGCACTGGGCCTGTTCTTAGCAGTTAGCTTCTCAGTTTTACTGCCTGTCAAATGGGATGGTGCTTCCCGGAGCCAGAGAGGATGAATGTAGCCACAGCCCCGCTGAGGGCTGGCAGAGCCCGTGTGGCCCCTGTGGACTTGCTCTCTGAGCCGTGCAGCCCTCAGTCACTTTCCTTTGAGCTCCTCAAACTAGACATTCGGCCAGTAAGAGCAGTGGCAGCAGCTTCACCTCCAGATCAGCGAGCGTGTCCCCACACGGGCTTACTGTCCTTTTTCTGGGGGTACAAAATCTTCCTCTTCTCGTCCATCCATCCCTGGTGTTCCCTTGGCCCACGGACAGTGCGGTCAGCCAGCACGGACTTGGTGTTGGCCTTCTGTCTGCAGTAGGGCCGCCACTCTGTGTCCTCGGCGCGGCCCGGCGAGGTGACGCCATCTCCCTCTTCTGCTGCGGCTCGTAGCCCGGCCCTGACTCGAACGCTGTGCTTGCAAAGAATGGAAATTCGAGCTGGCCTCCAGGGGGTAGAGCAGCCGACGGTCCGAAGACCAAGAGGGAGTCTCCTGTGTGCCCCCTTCCCCGTGCTCCCCACTCCTGCCACAGACCCTGGCCATAAAGACCCCGGTGCCAGCCGCCTTCTGTGCGTTCGTTGGACGGCGTGGGGAGATCGCTGGGGTCCCCGCTGCCCTTGCGGTCTCTGTTGTGGGTGTGGACAGAAGCCTGTTAGAGTGCTCTGTGCGGGACCTAGCCTCGGCCCTCCTAACCTCTTTCCTTTCTCTCTTTCTTCCCCCTCTCTCCCTCCTCTCCCCCCTTGCCTCCGCTCTTCAGGTCCGATCCGTACTGGGTGCAATGAAAGCTCCACGCAGGCCTTACCATGGAAGGCTGTGACTCGCCTGTCGTCTCGGGGAAGGACAATGGGTGCGGTATCCCTCAGCACCAGCAATGGACTGAACTCAACAGCACCCACCTCCCCGACAAACCCAGTAGCATGGAGCAGTCCACAAGCGAGAACCACGGGCCCCTGGACAGCCTGAGGGCCCCCTTCAATGAACGCCTCGTGGAGGGCACCGCCCCGGCCGGCACTGCCGCCGAGCCCGCCGGCAAGGAGGTCAGCTGCAACGAGTGCTCGGCCTCCTTTGCCAGCTTACAGACCTACATGGAGCACCACTGCCCCAGTGCGCGCCCCCCGCTCCCCCTGAGAGAGGAGAGCGGGAGCGACACCAGTGAGGAGGGGGACGAGGAGAGTGATGTGGAGAACCTGGCTGGGGAGATCGTCTACCAGCCCGATGGCTCGGCCTACATTGTCGAGAGCCTGAGCCAGCTGACCCAAAGCGGGGGCACCTGTGGCAGTGGCAGTGGGCCTCTCCCTTCGCTCTTCCTGAACTCTCTCCCCGGGGCAGGGGGCAAGCAGGGGGACCCTTCTTGTGCTGCACCAGTCTACCCACAGATCATCAACACTTTCCACATAGCCTCATCCTTCGGGAAATGGTTTGAGGGCCCAGACCAGGCTTTCCCGAATACCTCAGCCCTGACGGGGCTCAGCCCCGTCCTGCACAGCTTCCGCGTTTTTGACGTGCGACACAAAAGCAACAAGGATTACCTGAACAGCGACGGCTCTGCCAAAAGCTCCTGCGTATCCAAAGATGTTCCCAACAATGTGGACCTGTCCAAATTCGATGGCTTCGTGCTCTACGGCAAGAGGAAGCCCATCCTGATGTGTTTCTTGTGCAAACTCTCCTTCGGGTACGTCCGTTCGTTTGTGACCCACGCGGTGCACGACCACCGAATGACCCTGAGTGAAGACGAGCGGAAAATTCTTAGCAATAAGAACATCTCCGCTATCATCCAAGGGATTGGCAAAGACAAGGAACCCCTTGTAAGTTTTTTGGAACCAAAAAACAAAAACTTTCAACACCCTTTAGTTTCCACAGCTAACCTCATAGGCCCCGGACACAGTTTTTATGGTCAATTTAGTGGCATTCGAATGGAAGGGGAGGAGGCTCTCCCAGCCGGCTCTACCGCGGGCCCTGAGCAGCCCCAGGCTGGCATCTTGACCCCCAGCACCCTCTTGAACCTTGGCGGGCTCACCAGCTCGGTCCTGAAGACCCCCATTACCTCAGTCCCCCTGGGGCCTCTGGCCTCCAGTCCTACCAGATCCTCAGAGGGCAAGGACTCTGGGGTAGCAGCGGGAGAGAAGCAAGACGCGGGCGATCCGGACTGCCTCTCCGAGAAAGCAGAGCCAGCCGAGGAGGAGGCGGAGGAGGAGGAGGAGGAGGAGGAGGCAGAGGAGGAGGAGGAGGAGGA